GCTGGGCTACCAAATGAGTTAGTTCAAGGCTAGTCCGAACTGCATAGTGAAACTCTGTCTCAAAAAAGACAAAAACAAAACAAAAAATCCTATTTAACTACAAATTTCTTGTTGAATGCCACTGAATTTAGAAAAATTGATAGTTACACGATGAAATTTCCTTTCTTATTTTGAAATATCTGCGCTACTAGCTTTTGTTAATGTACCGGAGGCTGGGTGGTATTCTAATTCCTCTGTACTAGGGCATTCAATAAGACAGATAAACTTGCTGCCCTCAAGGTGCCTGGGGCCAGTGGGAAAGGCAGGCATTATTACTTAATACTTGAGCCTGACCGCAGATCAGCTCTTTCCCAAGTCTGCCTACAATTCCAATGGAGACCCTCAGATTAGACATACACATTACCTTCATTTCTTGTGTGAGGTTGAGAGAGGTCCAGTTCTTCAAGGCTATGCAGCTATTAGTGCCAGAACTGGACTTCAAACCCAGGAAGTCTGATCCCAAAGCCTTGCCATATCCGTACTAGATTGCGAGTAAACGTATGTTAATACTGTGTGATTGCTGGGGTCTGTAGGGTACTGATTAACCCGCCTGCCTTTCACTGGATGCTGGAGTCACTTGAGTTAAGAACATGCACTTTGTTGCTGTAAAGCTAGTGTAGAAAATGCATGGATGGGTCATTCAGATAGGCTTTCTTATTTGTCCCTCAGCGAATTGAGCTTGCCCACCTCAGTCACAGGTAGGCTGGCTAGGAGCCCACCATCCAGCTGGTCAATGTGGGGAGAGGAGAAAGTGCCCTAGAAAGTGCCTTGGAGATGGCGAGCTGGAGGAGCTGGGTCACATGGACCCTTGGCCGCTTCCCCCCACGCAAGCCAGTTTAGAGAAGAGCAGAAATGTGCCGGTGCTTCTGAGAGAGAAGTGACTGTTTTATGGTTTAGGAGAAGGAAGAGGGCTGGGAGAGATCGGCGCTCCCTTCCCTTGGTGTGACCTAAAGAGGGGGCCGTGAGTGTGTTGTGACCCTGACTGGCTGCTGGACCTTCAGGTCATCCCTGAGGGTATAGCTGAGCCAGTATTGAAGGAGGGTGATTTTTAGTCCTGGGGTGGAATCAGGGTGAGGGTGAAGGATTCTTAGGAACCAGAAACGGCAGGTCCAGAATAGTTTCAGGAACTGAAAGGCGCCAGCGTGTTCAGATCTTAGAGGCAGGCGTGGGGGGTGAGAGGAACAGCACAGGAGTGGGCTGGGGTTAGGGGTTGTGGTTTTGATGGGGTCAGATCGCCCTGGCCCTTGCAGCCCAGATAAGACATCTGAAGCTGGGCGTGGTGGTACGAGCCTGTAATCCCAGCACTCAGGAGACTGAAGCAGGAGGACTGCTGCGAGTTCGAGACCAGCCTGGGCTACATAAGGGAATTCAAGGCCAGCCTAAACTGCATAGTGAGACCCTGTCTCAAAAAGATGAAAAGAAGGGGCTGGAGGTTTAGCTCAGTGGCATAAGCACCTGCCTTGCAAGCAGGCAGTCATGAGTTCGATCCCTGGTACCGATAAAAAGGAAAAAGACAACAAGAACAAAAAAAAAAGATGAAAGAAAAAGCAAAAGAAATCTACATTTTACTCTGTGTATCAGAGAAATTCGTTGAAGGACTCAGAGCACTGGAGTACCATATCTGATATGTTTAAAAGATTGTATTGGGTGCTAGTACAGAATATATTAACAGAGGGAAAAACAGGAAGCAGAGGGTTCAGTATAAGAAGGCAGACTTACGATAACAGATCCGTAATGAAGTGGGGGAAATTGAGAGAAGCTGAATTTGAATATTTTGGTGGTACAAACCACAGTCCTTGCTCTGAGAGATTTGGATGGCGGTGTCCAGGGGGCTGGAGGGAAAGGAAGAAAGGAAAGATAACCCTCAGACTTCTGCTTGACTGCATGCCTGTCGTTCATCCTATGATGACAGACAGAGGAACAGCTTGGATGTTTGGAACTTGCTACATACAGTAGGCGGACATCACAGAGCAGAAACAGTTCATGGCGGGCAGAAGGCAGCAAAGCAAGCAAGGGGAGACCACAGCTCTTTCTGTCCCTTACCCTGACTGTTTAGAGGACGTGGCACTCACACCCTTAATCCTAGTGCCCTTGGTGCCAGCGTTGCACTGTGAATCAGTCACACACACTAGACGCAGCCTCAGAAAAAGCCTCACCTGTGAATGCATGGGGCTTGGTGGGAGGGGACATCTAGACACAACCATAACAGGCACGTTCGAACCCTTAAGCAGTCTGAATCACCTGCCGATCATGTCAAAATACAGATAATCCTTTAGGATCTGGGATTCTGTTTTTCTGTCACCCTGTCAGATCTTGCTAATGCTTCTGGTCCACGGAGTACACTTTGAACCCCAGAGGTATCCATTAGTGGTTCTTAAACTAAAGTGTGTGCTGGAATCAAATAAAGGATTTGAGAAAGCACAGACCACCGGCCCCTGTCAGAGTTTGCTTCCGTGGCTCTGGTGGTGCCTGAGAATGTGAAGTTGCTGTGCATTTCCAGGTGAGGCGAGCTGCTGGTTCCCCTGCTCCGGGAGCCTCTGGTGAGCCAGAGGGCGGGAGATAACTAGAACAAAACGCTGCTGGGAGGACTGACTCAGGCGGGTGGGCACTGAGCACACATCGAGGTTCTGGCTGTTTTGCTGAGAAGGGGTGCGGGGTCCTTGGCTACAGTGAGGGCAAGAGCAGCTGCTGGGGAAGCCAGCGACTTGGGTTCTGGGAGAGCGTTGGGTGCTCCCTTGCGAGAAGGCGAATGCACTTGCTCGGGGAGATGGACACCGGGGAGAGCCCGCTGGAGGTCAAGGTCAGAAATAAGAAAAATGCAACCTATCTGCCTGACGGTACAGTCTTCTTTTTCTTTGGTCACAGCTAGTTCTTTGCATTCAGACACGAGGAATTAAATGGTTGAGGTCACCTCAGGTTAGATTGTATCCAGATGAGAACATCAGATGGGGAGAGTTGGGGGAGGGAGAGAGAAGTGACTGTTACCGCTGAGCCAGGCAAGAAATGAGGACAGGAGAGGGCTGAGGGAAGGACATTGTCGTCGAGGCCAAGTGAACGAGAAGCAAACCGACAGGGATGGGGCGACTGTGACGGAGCAGTGCTGGCCGTCAGTTTTGTAGGCAGGGCAGTTTTGGGGTGGGCGTCGAGGAGGGCTGGGGTGCAGCTGAAGGTGGTTGAGTGAGATGGAATTTCCTGTCGAGGTCAGGAAACGGGACCCTGGAGGTGCTCTCCAGCTGGGGGACAGACATTGGGAACAAATTTTTTAGTGAATGATGGGAAATTCCAGGTCAGGAGATAACAGCAACAGAGAGGAGCAGTGGATCAGGATTGTGAGGAGGGGCTTCTGGGAAACGAATAAGAAGCAGTGGTCTCCAAGAGGGATGGACTGGTCCCCTAGACACCCGCCCTGCTCACCAATCACAGGGTGCCCAGGCTGCGAGAGCGCCCTCTACCGGCAGGGCTGGGAGAGAAGGGCAGCCGCATTTAGCAGAGAGGCGCCCTGCGGGGTGCAGGGCTGGGTGTGGAGGACCGAGCCTCACGGGGAGTGGGGAAGGCAGACACTTGGGAAGGAAAGGGCTTCCTGGACTAAGCAGAGTGGTGAAATCCAGTTCGTTGGGGACGGGGCTGCTAATGACAGATGATCAGGAAGTCTCAGGTGGCCCATAGACAGAGATGACAGGAAGGTAAGGCATGGTAGGGTTGGCGCAATCGCGGACTGCAGCGGAAGTGCACGGCCAGTGCCTTCCCGAGCTTGCCCAGGGGGGGCGCCTCTGACCTCATCCCTGGCCGCACCCCTGGCTCCGCCCACGTGCCCCCCCCCCCAGCAAGCCCCCTGCCCCTCCTCGGGAGCTTTTCTCCTCTGTGGTCTGCACCTGGCAGCCGAGGGAGGCAGTGGGTAGTGTGAGCTCTGGGCCCGCTGCCCGCCCGTGTCCTTGCTGCTGACGGAGGGGAGGATGCTCTGAGGGTTCAAGTGCTAGCGGAAGAAAAGCAGTGGAAGCACTCAGCACCCCCTTGACTCAGAAGGGTTGATTCTGCCGTGATGATTTCTTCTCGCTGAAGCTCGCTTTCCTTTCCACCTTTGCGTGTTTCCCTTCCGAGCCGAGAGAGGGACTGTGCCGGCTGCGGCTGTATTCGCCCATCACTATGTGGGATTATTTTATTCCGTCTCTGTCTATCTCTCTGTGTCTCTGTCTCATCTCTCTGTCTCTCCTCCTTCCCCCTGAGGGCAGCAGTGTTGTGACTTGTTTTCTACTGCATCTCAGTCTCTGGAAAGTGCCAAATACTTCGTCTTCAGGAAATCTGGTGCCAGCCCATTTTCCTGAAAACACTGGTTACGGAGGGCCCTGCTCTGGTCAGGCGGCGTATGGTGACAGGTGACAGGGAGACCCGGCAGCATGATAGCCATAATCGAGTCCGTGTGTGGGAATGCTGCCTCATCTAGATTAGGCAACTGCCTGTTCTTGCAAAGTATTAAGACACAGCCTCAAACTTTTTTTTTTTTTTTTTAATCTTATAAAGATAAGCCAGCTGCAGCCACAAGCCGAGTAGTTGTGATAGACGTTAAGGTGTACAGAAGTTTGAAATATTACTCTCTGGCCCTTTATAGAAAACAAAAAATGCCAACCCTGGTTTAACTGCGTAGAAAAGACTAGAAGAAAATACTGAAAGTAGTAGGAGCTTTCTTTGGATAACAGAATTAGAGCTCTATTTAGTTTTTTCTCTTTGGTGGTTTTCTTTTTTTCTTTTTTTGGTACCAGGAATTGAACTCAGGACCTTGTGCTTGCTAGGCAGATGCTTATGCAGCTGAGCTATATCCCTGGCTTGGTTTTATATTTGTTTTGCTTTTTGTATTTCATTATAGCCCACTTAGTTTGAAAATGAAATAGCCTTGTAATATTTTAAAATAATATTTAGAGCACTTTTAATGGTGGGAATTGTTTTTTTTCTTTTTCTCCCTGTAGTGCTGCTTTTGACACAAAAACTGGGTTACGTGTGGCCGTGAAGAAACTATCCAGACCGTTTCAGTCCATCATCCACGCCAAGAGGACCTACCGAGAGCTTCGGTTACTGAAACATATGAAACATGAAAACGTAAGTGCTCTCTATTCAAGGAGAATCCATCCTGGTCTTGAATACACCGAGAAGCTGTGCTTTAATCCCTGTGAACAGCGGATGCTGGAGTGATTCCAAGTTTGCTTCCTGCTTCTCTGGGTACTGGGGTGTTAGTGGCCACTGGGTCATGGCAGACTTAAAATTAAATAGTGCCTCTTCCTGTAGTTCTGGTTTTACTCAAAGATTTCTACAGGAAAGCCCCTTTTTAACATTTAATATAAAAAGAGGATATGTTATGAAGTTCCTGATTTCTTAAAAACATTTAGCTGGAAGTGGTGGCATGGGCCTATAATTCCAGCACTCAGAAGGCTGAGGCAGGAGGGTCTCCATGAATTTGAGGATAGCTTAGACTACATAGTGAGCTCAAGGCCAGCCTGAACTACATGGTGAGACCCTATCTCAAACAAACAAAACTGAAAAAAAAATATCACTACCACCACCACCAGAATTCCCGATTTTGGTGACTGCCATTTGAAGGGAACTGTACGGTTGTGGAAATATGGTCAAAGAGATTTGAGAGTCATTTGGTTCAACTGATTGTTACTGTGTGGAAAAATTCAGAATCTGCCAACTTGGACTTAATCAAACTTTCTTTCTTATTTATTGGGAATGGAACTCAGGACCTTGTGCTTGCCAGGCAGGCGCTGTACTGTTGAGCTAAATCCTGACCCTAAACTTTCTTTTTTAATAATTGAACTTTTTTCTCTATAATAAGAAAAATATCAGATTAAGTGCTCCTTCACTAGTGTAACTGTTTTATTAGTATGCATTTTTCCTAAGTGAGACCATAAAAACAAAGATTTGTAATTACATGGGGTGTGCTATTAAGATCACAAACATGACTTTTTGTTTATCTCTGTGTTTTGTTTCCGTGGCATACCCTGTCTTGTACAGGTGACCTCCACTCCTAAGGATACTGTTCTCGAGCAGCTGTGTACAAACCTGAGGTTTTGAAATGCCCAGGGCAGCTGTGGATGGTGGGGTACACCTGGAGTTCCTGAGGCAGGTAGCACGGACCAATCAGCGAGACCTTGCCTCAGAATTAAAAAAAAAAAAAAAAAAAGTTGGAGGTCGTAGGTTTAGAGTGCTTGCCTAGTGTGTGCAAAGCCCTAGGGTCCATCTGTGTAACACACACACACACAACTTCAGTGTAAGCTGAGGCATCTAATCAGTGACATGTTTACAAGGAGTTGAAATATGTGGAAAAAGCTGGCAGGAGAAAAGTTAATTCCTAGGTCTGCCTAAAATCAAAATCAGTGTCCTTGCAGCTGAACTGATGTGTTTACACTTGGTTTCTAACACATTTGAATGTGTGTGCCCATTAACAAATGTGACACGGACACTGTCACAGCTTCTTAAGCATAAAGGATATTTCAAAATAGAATCCAAGCTAAACATTTATGGGACCCAGAGCACCTCTGGAGGCCCTGGGGGTCCCACCGATGTAGGTGATGCCAATTTAGGAACATCTGGCTTGGGAGATCACTAGTACTTTTCTTCCTAGACAATTTAAGCCAATGTTTGGGACAAAAAATATTTTGGGTTGTTCCCATCTGTGCTTTGATTTTTCTAGTAGCCATCAGAATCAATTTCCTTTAGGTTTTTTGTTTTTGTTTTGGTTTTGGTACCAGGGATTGAACTCACCACCTTGAATTTGCAAAGCATCTTATACCACTGAGCTAAACCCCTGTCTCTAGCTTTTTGTGCTTTAATCAGATGGTTATATGAAGATGGCTCGTGTGATACCGGACTGATTGTGTTTGGAACACAGTGTGCTTTGGAAGTTTGGAAGTCGCAGAGTGGTGAGATTTAGTTGTTCTAATTTTAGGACAGATAGCAATACTCCAAAAAAGACTGCTGACAGCATTAGAAGAATCGAATTTGAATCTGCCTAAGTTGTTAGAAGGATCTTGCTCACTAGCAGTCCATTTTTAATTAAGACGTTGAGGTTCTGGCCCTGGAGGCTGACCCCATAAATCAGATATTGGTGCTTTGTACTTTGGAACAAAAGCCAGTACATGTCGAAGGTCTCATAGTTCTGTGTTCTTTTGACAGATGTTCAGAGGGGAAATGGGAAGAGGTCAGAGGACTGTGACTTGCTGTAGACAGTTTCCTGCCTTTCAGCCTATTCTATAAACATTTATTAGGTGCTCACAATGTGAAAGTAGTTTTCCGGGCAAAGAACCAAGACTTCCAGTAAGTTTGAGGATTTCTAAATGAGTTCTTCTCCTTCACTCTCTTCTTCATTGTACTTTTTTTAAACGGCAGCCTTGAGTCACCACCTGCTTTTTAGCCAGCTGCCAAGTTTCTGGAGATGACTAGCATTGCTTAAAACTCTTTTGAAAATTTTGGGTATTAGTAACCAATAGAAATTTTTTTTTGTACCAGAAATCGAACTCAGGTCCTTGTGCTTTGCCGGGCAGGTGCTTATGCTACTAAGCTAAATCCCTGGAAGTAACCAGTAGAATTTTTAGGGGCCAGAATGCATAGGTGACCTGTTGATTATTTGTTTTGTTGCTTGAGCCCGGGTCTCACCAGGTAGGCCAGAACTCACTGTGTAGCCCAGGCTGGCTGCGAACTTGTGATCCTCCTGCTTCAGCCACTCAAATATTGGGATGATAGGCATGCATCAGCACGCCTGGCCTGTATGTATGATCTTCTACATACAGATGCCTCTGACCCACATCTTGAGTTATTCCTGCTGGTGATAATGAATGACAAAAGACAGGTTCATAATTATTACACGGGTGACTACAGTTGGGGGTGTCTTCTGTGACGGTGAGAGTTAAGCTCCCAATAAAGTCAGCTGGCTTGATCAGGCTGAACTTGCGACCTTGCTCTTATTAAGCACGGAAGGGATAATTAGAGAGGCGGCCTTCCAGCTGCATCTTTTGCTGCCTTTTGCTCCCGGGCCTGGAGATCTGTACATCTTGAAATTTAAAAATAAAAAAATCCTTTCATAAATTTTATTTGGAAGTCTCAGATTAACCTTGTTTGTATTGTAAAGATCCTTTCAGTTTTGTTAAAAATATTAAATGCTGTCTTTGATTGGTTGTGGAGTTTTAATTTTGGGGGGGAAGTAACAATTTACTAAAGATGTATTATCTCTACTTGTAAACCTAGACATGCTGTTACAGGATAATCGTTAGAGACCCTTGCTGCTTGTTTGTGCTGTAAAGATCCTTTCAGAAAGTCTGGTTTCTGTTCCTTCTAGGTGTTTGAAATCACATAATGGCGGGAGTAAAGGCATAGGCTGAGATACGACTTAAATTAAAAGGAAATTTCCATGAATAGATTATGGAATATTCCTAAAATGGTCTCCAGCTCTGTTGTAATGCTGGGAAACACTCGTGTTGCAGGATTTTCTTTATGATTAATACTTCATAACTACAGTGAGTGGAAGGGCAGTAAAAGTCTGCACACACAAAAATTAAAAGTGCCTTTGGTTTTGGTGCTTGCATTAAATACACGTTAAATGTTGTAAGTTAAATCTGTTTCTGTTACTATTTCCACGTTAGTTCATTGGTTTCACGTGCTTTTCACTCATTTGAGTCATTTTGTTTAGCTTTATGCTTCAAACTCTGTAAATGGCTGTTTCAAGAGCTTGCTTCTGTGTGCTGTCCTGTAATTGTGTGGGTGTGATCTCTGCTTGTTTATTAGTCAGCCTCTTGTGCTAGGTCCCTGCAGGTGCACTGTCTCCTTAATCTTCCCCCATAACACTGTAAAATAATCAGTGGTAACCCTGTGTCTCTCATTAGGAAGGTGGGGCTCAGAGGACACCAAATGTATTTACTAAACCGGATCTACTGTATCAAACATGAAGGCCAAAGGAAGGCTTATTTAAATGATAGACACAGTATATATAAATATTGTTGCAAGGAGTATGAGAATAGCATTGATGTTAAGTAAAAAGTCAGACATGAAACCATATGCAGAGTGTAACCCCTCTTTAATTCAGGTACATCAAAAGAAAGCAGCCCAGCATGCTGCTGACGGTCAGGATGGCTGGTGCAGCTTGGCTTTCTCGCGTGCAGTTGTGTGGCCAGGAGCCAACGGGCAGCCGTCTGCTTTGCAACAGGTTACGCAGACCTGCAAAGCTGCTGCTTGAATTCCCAGGCCACTTGTTCCCCTTCAGGGTGAGCTCGGTGATTCGGAGTACTCTCTAGGAGGCTTGGAGTAAAGGAATGGGCTGACAGGGTTTTGAGCTTTAATTTGCCTTTAGGACAATTTGTTTCCCTTGGTTTAGAGCAGCTTGGTAGCTGAGTTTTCCTGAAGATCATTTAGCTTTTATTCCAGGATTCCCTTCAAACCCACCTGCCACATTAGAGATGAAGTGTGTTGTTTCTCACTTTCAGTGTCTCACTGTTGAAATGAGGGGTCTGGGTTTGAAGGAGAACCAGCGGGCGTCGGGGTGCTGCAGGCGGATAAATCAGCAGTGTAAATCTGCAGCCTGTACCCGCTGTGGGTTTTCAGACAGTGGGGGTTCCTGTTGAGTAGCTGTCTGCTTTGTCCCCACCCTTTGGTTCATTTTAAACATTGTGATCTAAAGTCCTGATAATAATTAAAGAGAATTAAAGAATATAGTTCGAAAATGTTTTGGAATTTAAAAAATAAAATGGTGGCTTTACAGGTTGCATTTCTGTAGGATATATACTCTTTGTGTTAGTTCTTCAAGCTCTTAGTCCATGTGCAGGCAAGATTCTAACTCTTTTTGCCTTCTGATAAAACCATTGGCTGTATGTGAAGAGAGCCTAAAGCGAGAAAATTTTTAATGATGAATTAGGCTATTATGAGAAGTGATACCAACAAGTAGAAATCAAAAGCATAACAGGGGTAGAAAACCAGCTGAAATTATTACATATATGCTGCTTATTGACTGAGGTAGCTGGATTTGGAAATAGTTTTGCTTAATGTGATTAAAGCTGAAGGAACGTTTGATGCTTATTTACTGTTTGATCTCTTTTCTTTCCCTTTTTTCTTACACCAGGTGATTGGTCTGCTGGACGTCTTTACCCCTGCAAGGTCTCTGGAGGAATTCAATGATGTGTGAGTAAATGTTTCCTTTGCCTTCCTCTGCTAGAGGGTAAAGATTAGGGTTTCTGTTCCTGAACCAGAAGATTGCTTTTCCCCGTTATCCAGCTCTGCTCACAGTTTGGGGTGCACACGGAGGATGTGTGTTGTGGTGGTAGGTGTGAGCGGTTCCTCTGTCTCCAGCAGGTCACGCCCCCTTTGGAGAGTCTGGCTGGGTCCTTACACAGGGTCCGTGGAGGAGAGAGGTGACGCTGTTTTGATGACTGCTTTTTCTTCTCCACTTGCCCCTCCTCGCTTTGAAAGATCCTCCTTAAGAAATGTAGCCAAGCCCGTGTTCCCGACAGGCTTTTTGCTCTTTATCCCTGCGCCTGTAGGAGATGATGCTAGAACACAGGCCGCCCTTCGAAGTGTTGGGTTTACACGGGGACAGAGGGCAGAGCCCGCAGCTTCCACCGTCCTCCTGCCGGAAGTTTTGTGACCGTCACTGTTGCTGTTGCCTGGGGTCCTCCTAGGAGGCAGAGCTTGTGTCTCAGGAATCACGAGTGGGGTATAAGGAAAATGAAACAGAAGGGAGGAAGCTGCTGCAGGATTTGTTAGTGAGGGGTCACCACTGTGGGCAGCAAGGCCAGGACTGCCCAGACCTGAGAAGGCATCCAGAGTGCATCTCCGAGGGGGAGCGTCTGTGGGTCGTTGATGCCTGACTGCACATGTACCCGCTGAACTCCTGTCCATTCTTTCATTCACTCATTCAGCACCACAGCTGCTGAACGGAGCCGATTCTTTCTCACTGCAGCCGAAGTCCGAATATTCTTTATAACCGTCTCTTGGGAACAAATCTGTCCTATTTGTTGAATATGTCCTGAGTACAGAACATCTAGCAGAGTGTGGGCAGAGGCTGAGAATAAGCAGAAATGGGAGTCGTTCCCCTCAGTGAAATGCCAGTCTGGTGGGAGGAAGCAAATTCAGAACACTTTGGTATCCAAGTCACCAACTGGGTGACCTTGATGACTCCTTTACTTCTGCAGGCCCCAGCGAACTTCCCTGTAACATGATGGAAAGCAAAAAGCTAACTCTGCTCTCTGAAGACTTCTGAAAGCAGAGTGATAAGCTTGCCTTAGGAAAATAGCTCAGGGTTTACTTTTTTGGGATATCTGAAAACATTAGCACTTGACCAGGACTGTGGTTTATTTTGTTGTTTTCCAAAGTCATACAGCTCAAATTTGCACAGTTTTAAATCCCTAGGTTAATAGGCAGCCCGCAGGCTTCTTTGGAAGGCTGTATGTCGGAGGGAGGATGGTAGGCAGCCAGTCTGCTTCATTAGCAGTGGGCGGCTGCTGAATCTCACCGAGGGAGACAGTGTTTGGAAAATGTGCAGTTAAAATATCTAGATCTTGTAAACGCCTAAAGATGATGAAGGCATTCCTGTTGGCTTCCTGACGGTAATCTGGCTGGAGGCTACATACATGAGCATATTGTGTGCTGCAGATATTTGGAAAGGCAGAGATTTTACCCAGCCAGTGTTGCGGCCTGAACCCAGAGTGAGCTGCAACTTCTGCCAACCAGTGTTGCTTTTTCTTCATTGCTTTATCTCTGCGCAAGCTTAGTGGACAACAGAGTTCTGAACTTTCCTGGGATCTGTGTCCTCAAATTTCAGGAAAATTGCATTGTCACGGGTTAGATGGAAATTAGTCTTCTGCCATGTTTTCTCTGTTTCACAACTTCCCACCCCAGGTCTCCTACACTGAATTTTTTATGTCGGCTTCATTCTCAAAGAAGGAAATGGAAGTGGAGTCTTGGATTCCACAGTGATCTTGCTGGAGACCTGCGGCCAGGGCACCCCGGGTCACCTGACAGTCGTCACTTGGGTGAAAGGCAGCAGGCAGAGGGTCCCCCAGCCTCGCCCCGCACCTGCCCCGCACAAGGGTTCTACTAATAAGCTTAGCCTCTTGTTTGAATATAAACTGAACCTGAACCATAAGCATTGAATCAGTAAAGAGAATTTCTGGATTCCTATTTTACTGATTTCATTCAATATTTATCCACTTTCTACTGGTTCTAATACTAATATGTGAGGAGTAGAACAAATTAATACCTGCCCAATGAGTTAAGACTTCTAAGTGCTGGAAGAGAGCAATTCAGAAGATCAAGCAAAAGTCCAGGGAGACCTTGCACGGTTCAGCCGCCCCTTAGCCGCTTTCCCAGACGGCTGCTGCGCTGGTTTCTAATCAGAGCCTGCCACCCGTTCCACTGCGTTTCCCTCAGGACCCCGAGGGTCCCCTCGTGGGGAGCTCTCTTTCCCACCTGCATCACTTCCCACGCTGTCATCGGCCAGTCCTTGCCCTGCTTCGTCCTTAGGAACTTTACCATCGTACACCTGTTCCTGGCTTTCTTCACTCTCTGCTGAGAGCCTGCTGGGGTACAGTTTGCTCCTCCTTTTCTAAGTTGTTGGCACTGAGAGGAGTAACAGGCACCTAGCTGCCTGCAGTGGCCAGGTGAAGGCGGGTTCGCGAGGGCGAGGTGGGCACAGGTGTCTTCGGGGAGGGCTTTGTAGGAAAGGGGCCTGTGTGCCTGAGCTTGAAGTCTTGTGGGTGTCGGAGAGGTGGGGGATGGGAGCTGGAGGAGGAGCTGGATGGGCCGCGATCAGCAGTGCGGCTTTGTCCTGCGCCTTAGTGTCCAGGTTGCCCGAGCCGGCAAAGGGTACTGGGCGGGGAGTGGAGGGTGCGATTGGGACAAGGAGGAAAGGTTTCCCCCCGTACCAGGGATCAAACTCATGATCTTGTGCTTGCCAGGCAGGCGCTTGTGCCACTGAGCTGTGTTGCCGGCCCTTAGAGGTTTTACTTCTCTGTAATATGACAACTCTGTCTTCCTTTTTCCCCACAGAAACACACTCCATAATTTTCAAGAAAAAGATTTAATTTTAGTAGAAGCAATGTTTCTCCTGAGTCTTTATTAACATATTAGAAAAGTTTTTGGGTGAGTGTGTGAGGTGGAAATCTGAAATGGATCTAAGACTTCTGGGAACAGAAAGTTACATAACAGTGCTCTTTAATATTAATACCTGGTGACAGTTTCCTTTTTTCTTCTCTTTCTGTGGTCCTGGGGATGGAGCCCGGTGCCTTTGCACTAAGCTGATCCCTGCTCTTTTTTTAACTTTTTGAGACAGGATCTCACTAAGTCATTGAGTTGCTCAGGCTGGGCTTGAACTTGTGATCCTCCTGCCTCAGCTTCCCAGAGTGTTGGGATTACACATGTGCACCGCCATGCTTGGCTTGGTTTGAATTCTTGACATTACAACCATGTCCTGTCTTTCAAAACATGGTCCTAGGCATGTGGGTGAAACTGCAAAACGTGTGCTTAGGCAGTTCTGTAATATAACGTGATTTTAGTCGGTAGCATCTTGTGGTTTACGAGGGCCTGGACATAAGTAGGAGCGAACTGTATCCCAGCAGGCTCACAGGCAGAGTGAAGAAAGCCAGGAACAGGTACAACCCTGGGAAGCGCATATTACCACCTCCAGTTTTCAGATGAGGAAGCTAAGGTTGTAAGAGATGAACCCAATTATCTACTAACACCTATAAAATTGCTTCCCAAGTTTTTTGGTTCAAAGGCTGTGTTATCATTTGAAAGCTGGCTAACTGCGTATGGAGGAAATGCTGTCTGTCAGAAGTCAGTGGAAATGACGGTCACTCTGTCTTCCTGTTGCTTGCAATCTCATAAAAGAGACAAAGCATAAAGACTCCCTAGTATAACTGGAGGACGGAGTCAAATTGGTAGTGTCTAAGGGACATGCAGAGTGGACTCAGACCATGAGAGGGGCGTGGAACAGGAACACTTCTAAAAAAAGTAGTGACTGGGTTTGGAGAAGCAGATAGGGCTGGGGTGTGGAGGTTGAAATTTATTTGAGAAATCAGAAAAAAGGAAATTGCAGTTTGTGCAGGATGGAGAAGTGTTGTAGAAATAGAGAACCATGGATTCTCCCTTTGTATCTGGGTAACGTGTGTAAATTCTGGGGTGTGTGTGTGTGTGTGTGTGTGTGTGTGTGTGTATGCTTGGAAATAATGCTGTTCCTCTGCCATGGGAAGAAATAACCCAGTCTAGACATTTGGGCTCAGAAATACTGCAGTTCTTTGAGATTAGACTGAGTACTCACAGTAGGTAGTAGAGGAAAGAAATGATCTGGGAGGAAGCGGAGTAGCTTCACTGTGCCAAGGTTAACCTTTGCAGGAGTTCATTGGTTTGGTTTCAGATGGGGTCTTGCTGTGTTGCAAGGCTGGTCTCCAACCTGTGGGCTCAGGTGTTCCTCCAGCTTCTGCTTCCCAAGTAGCTCTGTCTGCAGGCAGGTACCCCGCACCTAGCTTCTGTTTGTGTTTGTGTTTGGTTTTTGGTTTTTCCCTTACCAAAGAGGTCTGCGGAAGTGATAGTGGTGGCTGGTGAAGCTCCTTGTAGCTGCCTTCCCTGACTCACATTTGGAATCTAAATAAACTGCACATTCTTTAAGAAAATACCACCAGGCTCTGTCTGTCTATGATAGTAAAATGCCGTCTTCTGTCTCTAACTAGGCAAAGAAACTTCAAGGCCATGCCTGGAGTTGAGCCCTCCGAGAAATCTCCCCATGTTAACCCCTCCCTCAGCCCGTGGGGGTCCTGCTCCCATGTGCCCTCCAGCACTGTGTCCTCTGTAGCTCTAGCCGTGCTCCTTGAGCCTGTGGTAGAAACACCGCCTTCTCAGCTCAACTCTGTCCGCTTTTTCATGCTGCCCAACAGGAAGCGTTTGTGGGTGGAACGAACTCGGGAATCAGTAGTCGGTCTTGGGCTGCACCGCGTCACTGATCGAAGCTTCGGCTGACGGCCCACCGCTGTCTTTTAACCAGCCTTCTTGGTCTCAGCCTCTAAAGGAGACCGTACGCTGGAGCACTGAGCCTGGTGTGGTCGGTGCCAGAGATGCAGGGGGTACATCGTGGTGACATGATTGATTTAAGTCAAGACGGTTTGTTGAGAAATAGGCTTGCTAAGCTGTCTGCTCGGATGCTGAGTAGTTCTTTAGAACAAGCATTGAAACCAGCCAGGCTGCTTACCAGATCAGATCATGGCGTGCGTGTCTCAGTCAGAGGTGCCCTCGCCCTGTCTCACTGCGTGCTAGAAGGTGCTGGTGACTTGTGCTGAGTCATGTCCTTGGTAGTGATTGAGTGCCTACTGTCTGCTGGACATGGCTCCAGGTACACTGGGGACTACACGGAACAACAGGTAGCCCTGCCCTTCTCGAACACTCTACAGGTAGTCGGCAATTACAAGTATATAAAAGAGGAAATGATACCAAATGTTAGCAGCGAACACTGCAGAAAAGAAAAAGTAGAACAGGAAGAAGAGTTAGGAATCTGAGGGCAGTGGAGAGACGTTAAAGTGGAGTGGTAAGGGAGACCCTCGGGGTGGCTTTTGAGCAATAATCAGGAGTAGAGAAATTTGAAGTACAGATATCTAGGGGGGAGCGTTCCAGGTGGAGGGAGCAGTTCCCGTGCAAAGGCCCAGTGGTGGGACACTGTGCTGCACTGGGACAAGAGCCTGGCAGCCAGTGTGGCACTGAGCGCCAAGGGAGAAATGCCCAGCAAAGTCAGCGACTGCAGCAGGGCTCTACGGGCCCCTGAGAGGGTTTTTGTGTTTTCTGGGAGCAAAATAAGGCACCTTTGGCAGAAAGGAGAGGCACAACCTGAGTTTCATTTTCAAGGAATCGCTCTGCTTTCTGTGCTGACACCCAGGGATCACTGCAGACGTTTTCCGAAGCGTACTTACACTTTGTCAGTTCTGGATTGTCCTGGACCCCGGGGAACAAAAGGAAGAGATGCTTCTTGGGGATTTAGCTCAGCGGCACAAGCGCCTGCCTGGCAAGCGTGAGGTCATGAGTTTGATCCCTGGTACCAAAAAAAGAAAGGAAAAGAAATGCTTCTTGTCTTCTGATAAGTGCTTTGAATGGCACTGACATTTGTGTTCATACATAGGCTCCTACTTACATGCTTAAAAACAGGGCAGATGCTGACAGGGGCGTTATCGGAGAGGTGCTACCACAGGAGGCTTGGGAATGGGGTAACCTGGGGGACCAAGAGGCACTCAGAGCAGAGCTCTGCCCTCCAGCTGGGACGGTACCTGTGACTCAGGAGACTCACTTTGAGAAACGTGACTTAGAGGTTTTATACTTGGCTTAAATTTAAAGGAGAATGTTTTCCTAGGGGAGAAAGAAGATTGGTATCAGGCTGTGGAATAGTCCTTCCAGTCCTGAGTCTGGCGTAATTGCTTTTTTAAGGATGGAGAACTGGATCGCTGTGCGGCTGTATTTCCCTACTTTGTTTAATTTAAGGAGTTTAACTTTTAATACATTTTAAGAATTTAATTTGGGGGATTTGACACTTAGTACAGAGACAGTGGAAGGTGTGGCCTTACTAAAATGTAGTTAAATACGCTTTCCAGAAAGACATAGTAGATGTATTTTGTGACTGTCTATATAATTTGGAGATTGACTTTCTGGGCATGAGGGGGACGGTGCTGGAGGCTGAGCCCAGGAACTTACAGAAGTTAGATAGGTGCTTTACACCGAGCCCCACTCCAACCCCCAATTGGACTTTATTTATTTATTTGTTAATTTTTGGTCTTTTTTGAGGCAGGGTTTCTCTGTAGAATCAGGTTGGCCTTAGACTCCTGGCAATCCTCCTGCTTCAGCCTCCTGAGTGCTGGGATTACAGGCGTACACCACCACACCTAGCAAACAGAATTTAAAGTGTGTTCTCTGTCCCCCCTAAACCCCCCTTGTTTACTGTTTTTAGAAGCTGGAAAACCTTCCCTAAAAAGTGACATTGCACAGTGCCTGCTTTTGTCCTCTGTTGAAAGATTTATTTTGGAAATCTTTATATATATGAAGTTGAAATTTGCCAGTTGATGGGCACGGATTGATTTGGGGGCTTCCCGGAAATAACGTGTAGTGATTAGGGAATTCCCGTGGGACCCTTCTGCCGATAATGGGCTTCCAGCTGGTGGCACAGTAGTGTGGCAGCAGTGTTGACAGTACGCAGCAAGTGGCTCGACAGTCCCCTCTCGTTCTGGAAATCTTACAGATAAAACGGTGAAGGGGATTGAGAGAAATTACACCGTGGGGGACTAGTCTACCCAAAAGACTATTGCTAGATTCTTTCTTCTTCATAATGTTATCATGATTAACATTATCAACCGTTATCTTGAATTTCTGACCTAATTTCAAAACAACTAGTTTTTCACAGTACCCACATGGCATCAGATTATGACAGATGGAGGTTTAAAACTGCAGTGACGATGATTAGGGTGGGGTTATGCTAGTTCTTGCTGAAGAAACTATGCGAGTTTCTTCATTAAAGATTGATTCTGATTACAAGGATTGAGAATCATTAAGAAAACGGTTGAGGTGATGTTTCCCTAATCACTGTGAAATTTATAAAACTACCCCCCCCCATTTTGGGGATTAAACTGAGGCCCCTTGCACTGGCGTATGTCTTGACTCTTCTTTCTTTTTTCTTTTAATTTTGAGGCAGGGTTTTGTCACGTTGATAAATTGGCCAGACTGGGATTGAACTTGAGGTCCTCCTGTTTCTGCTTCCCAGAGTGCTAGCATTAGAGGCATGCTCTACTGTGTCTGGGTCATAAAACTTTTTGAAGAGGTCATTCTCTTGATGCGAATTCTGTGGAAGACTTTGGAGGCAGTCAGTGTGTGCTATGATTCAGATCGCGCTCTCCACACAGGACATTGTGGCTCCCTTTTGACCTTGAGCAGATTACTTACCCCTGTCCTGTGCTGGTGTCCTGTTTCTGAAGTCCCGATGGGACTCGCCCCATGAGACACTGACAGTGAGGGGTGTGAAATGCCGCACAGTGAGGGGCTCAGCACAGTGAGTACCAGCTGCCTCTGGTTGGACTGTGTTGTGTTTAAAACATCTCTCCAAGCCGGGCGTGGTGGTGCATGTAAGGTAAGCCCAGCACTCAGGAGGCTGAAATAGTAGGATCATTGCAGGTTCAAGACAAACCTGGGCTGCAAAGGGAGTTCAAGGCCAGCCTCAACTGCATGGCGAGACCCTGTTTCCAAAAGACAAAATGAAAGCAAGCAAGCAAGCGTCACCCAAAGCTGCCTTGGTAAAAACACTGAGAGTACTTTACTCTTTCAGTGACCTAGAGCGCACCCTTTCCTCAAAGCACTATGAACATTGAAGTTTTAGAAATACAGAACACTAAAATCTCACCCTAAGTCTAAGGTTCCATCTAGGCTGCTTCTGGTGATCTTGAGAGCGGCAGCCTACAGGAAAATCACGCTAGAGGAAAGAACTCCAGTTCCTCTTCGAGGGAAGCCAGTACCCGCTCTGACCTTTAAAAAGTTCACCTCGTGGTCCTGGCCTGGCGGTTCCGTCCCCGCGCTGTGCAGTTGAGTCACGAGCGGGTTATGGCACTGGATCTAGAACTGCGGTGGTGGACCTGTTGGACTCGAATATCATTGTTCCCTAATCCTACCACGGAAAGGGGACCAATAACCAGTGCCACGCCCCTGGCACATAGTTGTGGAATGGCTTGTCCTGCCCACGGGCAAGCGTGTTCCTCCTTCCTGTAAGGGGAAGGCAGGGATGTTGTCAGGGAGCAGTAACCTCAGTAACTCCTGAAAAAGGAGATATAAGAGTAATTCAGTTCTGCATCAGCAGGGCTGGGATTTAGCTCAGTGGTGCAAGGTCACCTGCATGGCAAACATGAGGTTGTAAGTTCCATACCTGGTACTTAAAAAAATTAGACATACGCTAATTTAATTGTAGGAGGAGCAGATAAGCAATGCTTTAAAAGTAAGCCATTTTCTTTCTTTTTCTTTTTTTTTTTTTTTTTTTTTTTTTGTCAAAGAAGAAAGCAAGCTAGCGAGCAAGCTTTACTTTGGCCCTGCACTTAGTTGTCCTGTATCTTTCTCCTGCTTCCCAGGTACCTGGTGACCCATCTCATGGGGGCGGATCTGAACAACATTGTGAAATGCCAGAAGCTCACGGATGACCACGTCCAGTTCCTTATCTACCAGATCCTCCGGGGTCTGAAGGTACGGACTGCGTCGGCGATGCCTGGGAGAAGCGGACTCTCGGCCCTGCCCTCCCTTCCGTGAGGGCTTAGAACAAATTGGCAAACAACTGTTCTTACAGAGAGTGCAGACACAGAAACACAAGCGGCAATCATAGGCTGAGGAGCTGGCACGATCGCTCCTGAGCACACTGGTTTCTGTGCTGCTCACACCACGGGTGGTTTTATAAAAGCAAGTCTAGGCGTCCGCTCGTGTTGCCCACAGATACTCTTATAAGTGTCTGAGAGGTCAGGACTTCTCATGTCACATCCTTCAGTTTAGTTCGGAGGCTTTTAAAAACTCCTCAAGGAAGCTAATTTAATTGTGGGAGGAGCAGATAAGCAACGATTTAAAATTAAGCCATGTTTGATATTTAGCCTCTCTTGAGTCCTTATTGAACGGCAGCCTGTCAGTTAGAAAATAGGTTGAAATGTAAAGGGAAGGAAGTCATTGGCCACAGAAATCACTAACAGCCGTGGTAAATACGTGGGATCCTGGCGATCATGCTGATTTTGAAAGCCAGCGTGAGCACCACGGTTCTTACTGCTTCATGAAAACGTACCGCAAATATGTCCCGGAACCTGTCAGTGGGAAGTTAGAGAGAACTTGGATCTAACCGACTTTTCTCTTTGCAGTACATACATTCAGCCGACATAATCCACAGGGTATGTGTTGTGGCGCTTTGCTTATTGTGGGGACATGGGCGTGAGGGGGGCTGGAGGAGTGGTGCCTTCATCTGAACTTTCTTTAACTTTTGCCATATTGATTGATTGCAGCTTTGCTTAGATTAAGGCTGATCAAAGAAGTTTTTATGTGGTGTATGCTTGAGGCTCATGTGGCCCAGACACCACGATAGGGTGAGGGCAGCCGTGGGTGTGTGGGTGAGGTCTTGGGTCCCCCTTGCTGACCTTGAGGAGGTAACTTGTCATGCGTCACGCAGCTGACCGTGTCCTCTCTGCTTGGTTCCTAGGACCTCAAACCAAGTAATCTAGCTGTGAATGAAGACTGTGAGCTGAAGGTGAGAGGGCGGGCGTGACGGTGGTGACCGTTTCTCCCATCTTGAGATTGTTTAACTGGCCAGGCAAACCGTCTTCAGGAATGGATTTATAAGACCACGATTGTAAGAAAAAATATTTCCATCTTTCAGAAGGTTCCTGGCCCCTTCCTAGTAATTTTTACTGATATTGTAGATTAATCTGCTCGAGTTCCCAATGAGGGGGATCCTATAGTGTGTATTTTTGTGTGTCTGGCTTTGGCTTAGTACAGTGTTTTTATCTGTACTGTTCTATATGTATCAGTGATTTCGTCCCTCTTACCACCACGTACTATTCCACCTGACAAAGGTTTCAGAAGTTAATTTATCCACCTGTGATGGGCATTTGGTTCCGTTCCAGTTTGGGGATGTGTAAAGCTACTAAGGCAAGCCATTTTCTACATGTGCAAGCCTTTGTATGGATTTGTTTTTACTGTTTTGTACGTAGGAGTCACGTTTTTATTTTTCATTAATTTTTTTTTTTTTAAGTCTAGCACTGTGTTCATCGTGGACCAGGAAATCCACTTAGGAAAGTGCTCTCATGTTCCTTTTTTAACAAGACAGCAGGTTATTCCCTGCCTCCTGGAGAGGTCTCAGCATCTTAGTCTATCCCAGTGCCTCATTTCTCTTTTTCCTCTTAGATTCTGGATTTCGGACTGGCTCGACATACGGATGACGAAATGACAGGCTATGTGGCCACCAGGTGGTACAGGGCTCCTGAGATCATGCTGAATTGGATGCATTACAACCAGACAGGTGCTGCCCGCCTCACGCTCTGTGCCTTAGCAGTACTAACCTGAATGAGTCTGGTAGAGAGGCAGTGGGGTCGGGGGAGGCATCTGGCTTCCCTGGTGATCCTGTTAATATCTACAAAGAGGAAATATTTCACTTGCTCAGGTGGGGAATTGCACTGTTCTATAGAGCTCTTCCAGACTTTGTGATTGAGCAACTGGGGTTTTACTTACTTATATTTTCCTCTGAATATTTTCTGAGGACAATGCATTCATACTCTAACCCTTCAGTATTACTTGAGAAGTCTGAGTGTGGTGGTGCATGCCTGTAATTCCAGCTCTCGAGAGGCTGAGGCAGGAGGATCATGGCAAGTTCAAAGCCAGAGTGGGCTACATAGCTAGACTCTGTCTTAAAAAAAAAAGAAATTACTTAATAGAATCTACTGTGCTACCAATAAAAAAAAAATTATGGTAGCCCCTTATGAGTAGCTTCATTCTTTTACCTTACGTATGTTTTAACTTGCCCTATATTTGAAGGTCTTAATAAACTGCTGTATATCTATAAAAGTATAAAAAAAAGTGAGTATAGGGGCTGGAGATTTAGCTCAGCGGCATAAGCCCCTGCCTCACAAGCAGGCAGTCATGAGTTCGATCCCTGGTACCGATAAAAAGGAAAAAGACAAAAAAAAAAAAAAAAAGTGAGTATAATGTTGAGCACGGATACCTTAAGAAGAGTATTCATCTGAGTATTTTATCCCTAGTTACGATGTCATTTGTGACCACGTACAGTAGTAGCGATGAGGCATGCACTTTTATTTATGTGTTTTTCTTGTGTTCTTCCCCTGTCGTTCTGCCAGTGGACATCTGGTCGGTGGGCTGCATCATGGCCGAGCTGCTGACTGGAAGAACGTTGTTTCCTGGTACAGACCGTATCCTTTACAAAGTTGTGGATTCTTGTTTCTTCTGTGTTCCGGTGTCCTCGGGTGTGTACTGCCTCCACTTCCTGCAGGGACGGCTCTCCGTTTCTTGCTTTTATGGTCCAGATATCCAGTATGAGGTCTGTGCACCGGCTGAGTAGCTTACCCGGCCAGGAAAATGGCAGCAATTTATTTCCAAGTTGCAAATACTTGTCAGAGGTTTAAAACCCTTTCCATGTGTCAAATATTTGCAGCGTGTCCCTCTTCACATGGACCTCCCACACAGTCTGGAGACGCACCCATGCTCAAGAGAAGTTCTAGACCCAGTGATGGGTTTAGTCTGCCCGTCCAAACCCTGAGTGAACACAGAAACCTGTTGGTAAATCCAGGGTGTCTCACTGTTACATTCAGCTTACGTCCCAAGACAGCCGTGTTTGGCCCCTGGGTGACCTACCTGCAGCTCTTCCGAGGCTTACTATTCAACAACAAACAGTAAAAGCAAGAAGTCAGGAGGCCGTCCTGTCATGGGCCCTCGTTCTGCAGCAGGCTCTACCCCCGACTGCGTCCGGACCTCTGTCTCCTGCCAGACTCTCGTCTGGCTCTCAGCTCCCCTCTCCGCTGTGTGCGTGTGTCTCGGTTGCGTACTGATGTCCGAGTGCGTCTCATCGGTTCCGTCTGGGAAGCGGTTGAGGGAGAAATGATGTTCAAGTGTGTGTCTGGCGTTGGTGGAGGGGTCTCTGTCAGATGCAGCGGACCGTCTTCGGGTGCTGGTGCAGGTGCTTTTAGCGTCGCCGAGGCTCCCTCTGCTCTGTTCCTCTTGGGGCCTGAAAGCTGGCCTAGAGACCCGTCGGGTTTCCGAGGCCCGGCATCTGCTCACGCGTAGCTCGGGGTGTGCCTCAGTGGCCCCGCGTGACTCCTCCACTTCTGTTCTTGCCTCCTCCTGCTGGAGACAGCATACTTTCCCAGGAACCAAGAGAGTCTGTTCCTCAGGTAGAGCTGTTACTTCTCTCGGAACTTACTGACTCAGTTTCCCTCTGATTGTACACCCCGCTTCCCTCTGCTTGGCTCACCTGATTACTCCCGCCCCGAATTGTAATTAGTTAACACCCATATCTCTCCCTACCCTTCGTCTCATTCATTTGGTATCTGCTTCTTGAAATGCAGTAGACATAGTGCTGTTTCAGTGGAAAGAGCCGTGCTGTCCCTGGGTTTGTCCTCCAGAGCAGATGCCGTCCTGACCCTTCTGTCTGTCCGTATGGCCGCCTCCCACTTGCTCAGCGCCTGCGTTGCTTGACACAGAGCGGCAGAGGCGGTCGGGGCAGCCGAGGGTCAGGAGCCCATGCCCTGGAGTCCGACTCCCCATGTTTAGGTCTTAGCTCCTTTACATCCAGCTGGTGGCTCCGAGGAAAGTTTTCTAACCTCTGTCTCTTCAGTATCCGGTAACCATAAAACAACAGTAGCATTGCACAACTCAAGGTAGTCGGGGTAATTCAGCAAGACAGCACCTGGAAAGCTAAACTGAAACCTCCCCGCAGATGCTGCCGCCTTCTTCCTCACCGGTCTTGGAAACAGCCTTTCCCTCTCCAGCCACTCTGTTTACCCACCAATCATTATGAGTGTACAGAAAAACCCTGCGACAGGTGGCACAGAACAGACGCCTTGGCAGGTGGCTGTGGGGAGCTCTTGCAGCACCACAGCCCTCGAGCCTTTATGGCGTGGTGTGACCCCTTTAGAACACTTGCGACGCATGAAAAGTATTTCCTACTCAGGAAGCAGGAAGATGGCAAGTTCAAGGGCAGCCCAGGTGCCTTAGCAAGACCCTGTGTCAAAAATGAAAAGGTCTCCGGGCCGGGGGTGGTGCTTTAGTAGAGCATTTGGCTACCATGCGTGAGCTGTGTGTTCAACCCGTAGGACTGCAAAAAAGGAAAAAATACAAAGAAATATTTCCTTCTGTTTCTTCAATGAGCTTGAGGTAAATGAGCTAGCATGTAAGCTTTTTAATAAGGCATTCATTTTTTGATAAATGAGAGTTCTTTCCAGACGCGTGGCCTCCTGGGTTGTAGAAACCCAGTGAAAAAAGTTGTGTTTGTAGGGTGATTAACCTTTCTCCCGTTGGCTTCCTCCTGGGTAGATACAGCTTTGATTGACGAGGAAGTTTTCCCAATAGTTACTTTTGCCGACAGAGCACGGTATTTATGTTCTAGCACAGTGGTTCATAACCCTTGCTGTACATCAGAAACCCTCTGGGGAGGTTTAAAAATCTCTGGGTGCCTGAAACTCCACTGTAGGTGCCATGCGTCAGAGCAGGGGCCTTGCTGTACTGAGGAGTCTCCGGGTTGCAACAAGATTGAGAACAGCCAGAGGTTTTTGTTGCAGACAGAGTCTCACTGTGTAGCCCAGGCTGGCCTTACACTCCTGGTGATGGTCCTGCCTCAGCCTCACGAGTGCTGAGGTTCCAGGCATGCGCCACCGTGCCCAGTTTAGTTCATTTGAATTTAGTTTTAATCTTGGCTGATCCTGAAAAGTTAATTTAGTCTTTCACCAGCAGGATCAAGAAATTTCTTTCTAGGATTTTGATCTTTATTCTTCTGGCTTCTAGAACTGCCCTGCTCAAAAGCCTTCGGAGCCTGTGCTGGCCCCGCATCCTCTCTTTTGGCTAGAAAGGCACACAGCTGCCTAGTAAGGATTTTTCAGTGCAGCTTGTTGCCAAGGCAGCCTGCGGCAGGTGCTTTCCAGTGGGCACTCTTCAGTTCCCGCCTTTTTCCCTTGCCAACCTGCGCATGTCGTAGCTTCTGCACAGAAACCGTCCCCTAGCGCTTGGTGGTACCACAGATGTTTCACCACCGGTGTCCGGTGCGGTGTCCCGTAGCCTCTGGCCAGTGTGGCTGCTGAAAGTTGGCTAGTGCGACTCAGGAACTGAATTGAAAATGTTTTGGTTATAAAGTACATATAACATAAAACCTACCACTGCCACTTTTTTCATAATGTGGTAAAATACTCATCACATAAAATTTAACATTTGTGACCACTTGTGCTTTTTTAAATTTTTGGTACTGGGATCGAACTCACGACCTCGCACTTACCAGGCAGATGCTTCCACTGCTGAGCCAAGTCCGTGGCCCCTATAACCACTCATTGTCACACTACTACATTCATGGTGCTGAGTGACCATTGGCACTGTTGGTCTGGGACTTTTTGGGAGCCTTGCATGTGGCTCACTGTGGTACTACTGTTCTGCGAAGAGCGGGGCCTGCTTTTCGAGGCCGGCTGCCCAGCCTGTTCAGGGGCCCGGCAGCCAGACCGGGTACTGCAGGGGCAGGTGCCATCCAGTTGGAAATGAGTCGGAAAATGAGATCCGCAGCCTGCCCCGTGCACGTGCCCGGCCGAGAGCTCGGCCTTGGCCGTAAATTGGCTCCTTAATTCTACTGTGACTCGTTCCTACATGAGTTAGTGAAGTATCCCAGGCACATTACAAGACAGAGATGATCTAATGAAGGCCTGTTGTACACTCTGCCCGGATGATGAGGTGTCACCTCTGCCACCGCTGTCTGTCGTTGGTTTCAGACATTCTTTCTTGTCTTGAAAGAAAGCAGTTTTCCTGTGGGCACTAAAAGCAAGTATCTTAATAAATGGGGAGAAAGAAAAAATACTCATTAGGTTCGTTTACCGACTTTCTTCTCTAATTTAAGATTATATATTTGCCCACAATATACTGGAATTCTCGGCTTTGTCCACAAAGTCAGGTTACCTTAAGAAATATTGTGTATATTGGGCGTGGTGGCGCACGCCTGTAATCCCAACCCCTAAGAGGCCTAGGGGGCAGAGGCGGAGGATCATTGTGAGTTCAAGACCAGCCTGGGCTACACAGCGCGCTCAAGGCCAGCCTGTATCATAAAGACAAAAAAGGAGAAAAAAAGAGACTTCATTCATGTGGCAATGAAAATGACTATCGTAATAACCCCGAGAGGAGAAGCGGGTAGGCTGGGCTTCACTGCAGCCCCTCCTGTCTGTCGCCAGGAGGGCTTCCTGTCCCCCCAGATATCAGTGGGAAACTGCTGCCCACCAGGGTGGGTCCCGCCGCGGCCTGTTACTCAGCTCCCGCCTGCTGAGATTTTTGAGAAGTTCCTAGAGCACTCAGGAGTGACCGGTATATCCCTCTTTTACTTTGCCCTGACGCCAAGTTACTTTTCATTTTTTTCCCTTTATCTATTCATCCTGACTGCTGTTTGCTACAGTTACAAAAAGTTTGGTCCTAAAGTATTCTTAGACCTCTCCTGTCACGCGTTTCTTCATCTGTTTTAGAAAGCCAGGCACAGTAGTGCACGCCTGTAATCCAAGCACTTGGGAGGCTGAGGCAGGAGGATTGTTATAATCCAAGACCATCCTGACTACATAGTGCATTTAAGGCCAGCCTGAACTACACAGCAAGAGCTTTTCTCCAAAAAAAAAAAAAAAAAGCCAAATGACAATAATAATAATATCGGAAGTTGTAGGGCTGGGGATTTAGCTCAGTGGCATAAATATCTGCCTTGCAAACACGCTGTCATGAGTTCATCCCCAGTACCAAAAAAAAAAAAGCCAGTATCAATATCAGAAATTGTTATTATTACAATTAAAATGCATTGTAAACTGACCAGAATATCCTCGACCTAGAGCAGAAGAGCAGAGCCTGTTTACGCAGGGTAGCCCGCTGTGGACTCGGCTGCATGCTGTGCTGTGGGAAGTCTTGCTTTGGTCTGCCTGTGTGGCGCCACCCTTCTGCAGCTCTGCTGGCTCTCGGGGAGCTTGTGGCAGTGTCTGCTGAGGTTTGATGCATTCCTGTCTTCACGCAGGTGCTATTAGCTGCTCCATACATTTTTCCTTTGCCCCGTCTGTGCCCTAGCTTGCACTTGGCTGTCCTAGTCCTTGGTGCATACTCCCCTTCCCAGGGCACTGTCTGTGTGCCCTGCATGGCAGAAGTGCTCCGGAATAGGGCGTCTGAGGGTTTCATGAAGCCCAGGGTGAAACCAATC